TTATTTGAAAACAGGCAGCGATGCCTGTTAACATACAAGCGATCCGCCGGCTATAGAGCTTGTATGAGGTCCCGTGAATTGCGCCCTCCCCGGCTCCCCCCCTCCCGCTGTCAAGCTGGTCCCGGGCTCTACTGTGCCAAGTGCGAGCCCGGGACCAGCATATGGCCTCTGTCACAGGGGATCAGAGGGAGCTCGGTACACGAGCTCCCTCCGGTCCCCTCTCCGCTGTGAGATCACAGATCAATCACTGATAACACTAAACTGATGAGCGGTAAAAGCTTTTAAAGCGTCACCTATGGTCAATTTTGGGCATGGTAATTTTTTGCGATTTCGCGGGTGTGCGCAATTTTAAAGCATGACATGTTTGGTGTCTATTTACACGACGTGACCCCGCTTTTTATATTTTACCAAAAATATGGGTAATAAATGGGTGTTGTTACTGGGGGTGTGGCCACTGAGGGGTGTGGTCACTGAGGGGCGCTGTAAAGCTTTCTCGCACAGGGCGCCTAAAGGCCTAAGGCCGGCACCTGATCATATGGACATATTCCCGGGATGCAGAGTTCACGCAATACGTCCATGTGCATTACGCAGGTTCACGTGAGTTTACGAGAGTACTGGCACCAACCCAACATTCATGTCTATAGGTGGCTATACACACCAGCTATAGGGCTGTGACATGCAAGGACGGTGGGGGCTGGGCTGGGGAACTGACTCTTCCTGGACCAGTCAAATATTCTATCAAGTTCAACCAACAAAGGCACCAATTATAACGATATACACATCGGAGCTATGGATGCAACCGGGCATAGAGAACGGCAGCATTGTCATGGCAACGAGAAACCATTTTTTGGGACATCTCCAAAGAATCGCAATCCATCAACTAACATTTCCATGCAATGTTAAAGCTGAACTCCGTGCAAAAGGCGAAATACATATGTGAGAGCCATTTTACCTGCCAAAGGCTTTGTATTTCTGCCTGTCCAGTCCTGAGATTTACACAGCACTGCCCTATCTAGCAGGAGAGAGGGGACCTGATTGTTCTCTGCTTCACTTTCACTTACAGGTCTCCTCCCCACCCCGTGACCGGCGGATGATAAAAGGAGAAGCAGCAGACTGATTAGCCCATCTCTCTGTTATTCTGCTTGCTCCTCCTCTCAGCATACCGCCTTTGCACTGCAACTGGCCAGCTCCTTGTGCTGCTTCTCACTCCCCCTCTATGAGCTCTGCTATACAGACTGTACAATAGGCTGAATGTCCATGGCCTGGCCACGTTTCATTTAAGATGCAGGACCAAGGCACCATAGGCCTGGAGGACTTTAAATCTGTTAACTCCGATGCTGGCCGACAAAATGTTGACCACAGAGGGCCTTTGCCCTATAGCAGGGTCCTGGATGGCATCTGTGCGCCCGGTCACATCGGGTACCTCCATACGGCAACAAGTGCTGCACATGTACTAATGGTAGAGGCAGGGCCAGATTTACCTTCTCTGCTGCCCCAAGGCCAGGTTCCTCAATGCGCCCCCCTTCCCGCCAAAACCCTCCCCCATGGAGAATGGCAGATCTGCAGGCTGCATACAATGTTGCCGGGATCACTTGTACAAAACAAGCGGCGGCTTCCCCGCTCTACATTTAGCTCTGCTTGCCCAAAGCCGGACTAAATGTAGAAAACAACTACCCAGAGCCGTAGCTGGCTCCTTTTGCGCCCGAGGCATGAATAGAAAATTGTGCCCCCCAACAGACGTGTTATGTCACCCTATGCCACACCCTATGTGACGTCATGCGCCCCGCCTCCAGGATGGCGGCACCAAATAGCATAAAAAACTGTTTCGTTTGACGAAACTAATGAAAACATTCTTAGTTTCTGTTCATTTAGTCTTTGCACATGTCTAATAGTGTGTGTGTGTGTGTGTGGTGGGGTGGCGGGTTCTAGGGGCTTCGAGGAAATGTCAGGGGTCTAAACAGATCTCTGACATTTAACTTTTGAAATAGAAAAAGAGATTGAGGACACAGAGTCCTCTGCCCATCCAGCAAGGAATGCGAGGAGAAGCTGTGTTGGACGTCTGGCGCCCCTGTTGCCAATGGTGCCCTGTGCTCACCATGGCAACAGGGGCGAGGGGGAGCAGCCAGGCTGGCCTTCGCTACGCCCCCTCTTAGGTCGCCTGAGGCGATTGCCTCACTCGCCCCATGGTAGCTACAGCCCTGCAACTACCCGCCCGGGCATCGGGAGATAGGAATTCCACACCCCTGCTGCCCCTCTACTCCCTGCTGCCCCTTGGTTTGCCTTGTGGGAAATCCGGCCCTGGGTAGAGGATGTTCTCTGCCGCACTTCACTGTTCGGGGGTTCCTTGTGGTTCCATCACTCTCCGGCAAGCAGAGTGGCGTGCAACTTACAGACCCTCCAAAGGGCCCTTATGTGCGATTGCCGTTGTAGAGCCGAGCTGATTATAATATCATCTATTCCACAGAAATTATTTCCGTCATGGCCATTAAATCACTGTGCACAAACAAGCTCCAGGACCGCACTGTGACCAGGAGAGAAGCAATATACTGGCAGTACATTTTTATCTGCTATTACAGGAATGGTTATAAAAAGGCAAGGACATAGTTTTACATAATGCAATATATATATATATATATATACACATAAATATACATGTACATATGTCCTCTAAGAGGTAAATACATAACCTTGTATCAATTACATGTAAAGGAAATTAACATTAAAGCCCAACTCTTTAAATGTCTCTCTGAGGGTTCCAAAAAAAAACAAAAACCCTGCCCTGCAGTACTTCTCCTTCGCCACAAGGTGTCCTATGTCTATGTGCTAAGGGTTGAATGGTGACCAGGGATCTATTAATAAACAATTTGCAGAGCCATTCGCCCTGAAGATCTCTGTGAACGTTCATTCTGTGAGAATAGAGTCAAAAAACGAACTTGTGTAATGTCACATTATGGCCAATAGATGGTGCTGAAGAGCACAGGAAAGAAGTATTGATTTTTGTTATGCTCCTCAGCTCCATCTAATGGTCATAATGTGACATTACATTAGTTCTGGGCGAATAGAGGCAAAACTTAATGTACTTTACTTTCAGGTCCAATGTAATATAATGTAATACCACATCATGGCCACTAGATGGTGCCCAAGTGTCACTCAAGCCTGAAAACTGTGGAAAGACTGTGAGTGCAGGGTGTCATGGGCCCGCCCTCTGGGCATGGAACCCTACACTTACAGCGTACTGATGCAGAGAGCAGCAATGGCATCAGTGCAGTTTGCTAAACCATCCAGAAACACCCACCGCCAGAGGAAGACCAAATAGGAAGGGGACTTCAATGTGTCACAGAAAACAGCAGAAAAAGGTAAGTAAGACAAAATATAGCTAGCTCAGACCTCGGGGGTGGGGTCAGAGAGCCCGGAGTTAGGCTTTAAAGTTGATGTCCATAACAAACTATATTTTTAATATTAGATCGGGTGGGGAAGGAGCGTTTCCTTTAGCAGAGTAAAGGTCGGCTAGGACCCCCACCGGAGTCCCCAATGGTCTTCTAATCCTTCCTCGCTCCATGCCATTGGCTGGACATACGCTCTAAGGACGCCATCTTTCTAAGTGCCAACAGTCTATGTATTGAAGTCACATGACATGTTATTACCTGGACAGCACTAGGATCTGATTCAGTCAGACGTCCTTCAATGTGCCAGTCTGGAAGGTACGTTGGCGCCCCTTGTGTCATCAGGACCTCTCGTAGGGTCGGAAGCCCAGGCCATTCCTGGAGCCTGGATAGAAAAATGTGAAGAGCACGTATTCAGTGAAGGCGACTTTCATTTATTGGATGCACATGGAAACAGTACGATAGGTTATAACAGGGCTAGGATGGGTCCATGCCATCGTACCTAAAAGTCCAGATAGGCAACCCTATGGCCAGTGTTGGCAACCCCAATGGCAATGCTGCTGGTAATTGTGAGGTAGTGGCATAGGGGCGGATGTATTAACGCTCCGCTCTGCGCATAGCTGGGCAAATGCCGTCCACATGGGATTCTCGCCACTAGATGGAGCCAAGGAGCACAGATGGCCGGGACATTATAAACCTGTCCACAGTCTGAATTGTGACCGTCTACTTTATGGGTAGGCGTGCTCAGATTAGGTCCACTTTATGCATTGGTCCCTCCCAGACCCCACCTTTAAACATGCAGGGATTTACCCATGACACTCACTTTATTGGTTGGTCCAGCCCAGATCCCAACTATAAATACGCAGGGATCAGTCATCACACACACTTAATGGACTGGTCCTGCCCAGATCCCACTTCTAAATATGTTGGGATCAACCATCAAACCCATGTGATGAGTTAGTGCCACCCAGTACCTGTCTCTAAATATACAGGAACCACCCTTCACACCTGCTGTATGGGTTAGTCCTGCCCAGATCCCACTACTACAGTAAATATGTGAGGGCCAACCATCACACCTGCTTTGTGGGCTGGTCCCACTCAGACACCACCCCTAAATATGTGGGGGCCACCCATCACACTCACTTTATGTGTTGGTCCCACTCAGACCCCACCTCTAAATATATGCTGACCAATCATCACAACAATGTTATGGGTAGGTCCCACATAGTCCACACCTCTTAATATGTGGGGACCACCCATCACACCCACTTTATGAGTTGGTCCTGCCGAGATCCCACCTTTAAATATGTAAGGACCAACCATCACACCCACTTTAGCGTTGGTCCCCCTCTCTACATATTCAGGAATAGCCCATCAAACCCACTTTATGAGTTAGTCCTGCCCAGATCCCTCTCTAAATGTGTGGGGACCAACCATCACACCCATGTGATGAGTTGGTCCCACCCAGTACCCATCTCTAAATATGCAGGAACCACCCTTGACACCCACTTTATGGATTGTTCCTGCCCAGATTCCACCTCTAAATATATGAAGATCAATCATCACACCCACTTTATGGGTTGGTCCCACTCAGACCCCACCTCTATATACAGTATATGGAGACCAATCGTCACACGAATGTTATGGGTTGGTCCCACATAGTCCACACCTATAAATATATGGAGACCAACCATCACGCACACTTTAGGGTTGGTTCCATCCAGACCCCTCCTCTAAATATTCAGGAAAAGCCAATCACACCCACTTTATGGGTTTTTCCCGCCCCAGTTCCCTCTCTAAATATATGGTGGCCACCCATTACACCCACTTCATGGGGTTGGTACTGCCCAGATCCCATCTCTAAGTATGTGAGGACCAACATCACACCCATGTTTATGGATTGGTCCCACCTAGTGCCCATATCTAAATTTGTAGGGATTACCCTTCACACCTGTTTTATGGGTTTGTCCGGCTTAGACCCCACCCCTAATTATCTAGGCATCACACTTACTTTATGGGTTGGAACCCCCCAGATCCCACCTCCAAATGTTCAGGGAAAACCAATCACACCCACCTTATGGTTTGTCCTGCCCAGACCCCACCTCTAAATATGCAGGAACCACCCTTCACATCCACTTTATGGTTTGTCCTGCCAAGACCCCTCTTCTAAATATGCTGGGATCACCCTTCACATCCACTTTATGGCTTGGTCCTGCCCAGACCCCACCTCTAAATATGCAGGAACCACCCATCACATCCACTTTATAAGTTGGTCCCATCTAGACCCAACCTCTAAATATGCAGGAACCACCCTTCACATCCACTTTATGGTTTGTCCTGCCAAGACCCCTCTTCTAAATATGCTGGGATCACCCTTCACATCCACTTCATGGCTTGGTCCTGCCCAGACCCCACCTCTAAATATGCAGGAACCACCCATCACATCCACTTTATAAGTTGGTCCCATCTAGACCCAACCTCTAAATATGCAGGAACCACCCTTCACATCCACTTTATGGTTTGTCCTGCCAAGACCCCTCTTCTAAATATTCTGGGATCACCCTTCACATGCACTTTATGGGTTGGTCCTGCCCAGACCCCACTTCTAAATATGCAGGAACCACCCATCACATCCACTTTTTAGGTTGGTCCCATCTAGACCCCACCTCTAAATATGCAGGAACCACCCTTCACATCCACTTCATGGCTTGGTCCTGCCCAGACCCCACCTCTAAATATGCAGGAACCACCCATCACATCCACTTTATGGGTTGGTCCCGTCTAGGCCCCACCTCTAAATATGCAGGAACCACCCATCACATCCACTTTATGGGTTGGTCCCGCACAGACCCCACCTCCAAATATGCGGGGGGCCACCCATCTCACCCACTTTAAGGCTTTGTCCCACCCAGTCCCTGCCTCTAAGTATGCAAGGACCACCCACGCATGGCTCCAAGCCTCGCAATTATTGTCTTTCTGCATTACCGAGCATGTGCGGTAACTCCAATGAAGCTGGAGCTCCGCCTCAACGGAACAGAGGGCCAAGATGTTGGACTGTCCCGGCAAATCCAGGACACTTGTACACGAGAGGCCATTTCAATACGTATCACCCAGAAATACGTCCGGACCCGTCAATTCTTTCCCTATGAAATGTTGTGCCAGGAAGGAGGGATTTCGTACTTCAGTGGGTACATCTGCTCAACGTGCTGACTTTGGCTTTCCCGTTTTGCAGGCTGCGGCGTACTGCTGGCATGGCAAGCGTCAGCGTTGGGAATGCAAAGCACACACGAATGATTCAGAGCCCGTCTCCAAGGGCAGTCCCATTGCAGACCATGCAGCTAAACTGGCTGCCAGACCTTTCCCATGGGAACCACACACGCGCACACACACACACGCCAACCGCTGCAGTGACATCTTCTCAGAGCGCACAATGTGAATCCAATGTAGGCGAATGCATCGGATTCCGGGCAATGGGAATGAAGGTATGGCGGCATAGACGCTGCTGTAGTGGGAACGCGGGCTTATGGATCCAGACCCATTGCCGAGTCTTCAAAAATATTCTGACTTGTAGTCCCACTGCAGCTGGAGCGCAGAGGTTGCCTACCCCTGCTCCATGTAATGTTTACCGGCCCCGGTCGCATTCCCCTTCACCTTTTACTACACTTGTCCTGAAGTAGCCTCCCCCTGACCTATACACTGACCTCCATTTTCTGCCCACGCCATCATAACCCCCGCAGCGTCCTCACTAATACAAGAACCCGGGCAAGATCTGGCAAGAGTTAAAAGAGAACTATGGGCTGACCTTTTTGGCCCATAGTTCACTTAAGGCTATACTATGTCCTCCTGTGACCCAAAACTCAGCATATAGCGGGCTGCTGCCCTCTATATGGGACCCTGGGACATATGTTATGTCCTCCTGTGACCCAAAACTCAGCATATAGCGGGCTGCTGCCCTCTATATGGGACCCTGGGACATATACTATGTCCTCCTGTGACCCAAAACTCAGTATATAGCGGGCTGTTGCTCTCTATATGGGACCCTGGGACATATGCTATGTCCTCCTGTGACCCAAAACTCAGCATATAGCAGGCGGTTGCCCTCTATATGGGACCCTGGGACATATGCTATGTCCTCCTGTGACCCAAAACTCAGCATATAGCAGGCGGTTGCCCTCTATATGGGACCCTGGGACATATACTTGGTCCTCCTGTGACCCAAAACTCAGCATATAGCGGGCTGTTGCCCTCTATATGGAACCCTGGGACATATGCTATGTCCTCCTGTGACCCAAAACTCAGCATAAAGCGGGCTGTTGCTCTCTATATGGGACCCAGTGGACATATGCTATATCCTCCTGTGACCCAAAACTCAGCATATAGCGGGCGGTTGCTCTCTATATGGGACCCTGGGACATATGCTATGTCCTCCTGTGACCCAAAACTCAGCATATAGCGGGCGGTTGCTCTCTATATGGGACCCTGGGACATATGCTATGTCCTCCTGTGACCCAAAGCTCAGTATATAGGGGGTTGTTGCCCTTTATATGCTGACAGCGCAAAGCCGGGACGGATCCTGATAATATTGCCGAGATCCACCCAGCCGCCTGATTGACAGGTGGCTCTGCCTCTCTAGAGCCAGCTGTGCCCGCCCCCGTCTATCCCTCTAGTCAGCACTGGAGGATCTGAGAGGAGAGGGGAGGAATCCCTGTCAGTCACCGCTCTCTGTAGGGAGATGATCGGCAACTGAGCGATCGGAGGTATCCTAATCAATAGAGTGGATGTGTGACAGCTTCAGTGGCACACATCAGCTCTAATTCTGGGGTGGAGTGTAGTTCACCCCCTCCCCCCATAATCCTCCTTTAAAGCTGAACTCCAGGCACAAAAATGCCCATATCCAGAGGTACTGAGCACTTCCCATATCCAGAGGTACTGAGCACTGTGCACTTCCCATATCCAGAGGTACTGAGCACTTCCCATATCCAGAGGTACTGAGCACTTCCCATATCCAGAGGTACTGAGCACTGTGCCCTCCCAGGTGGCTGTGGGGGGTCTCAGGTGGCATGTGTGTACTCCCAGGTGGCTGCACTTCCCATATCCAGAAGTGCTCAGTACCTCTGGATATGGGAAGTGCTCAGTACCTCTGGATATGGGAAGTGCTCAGTACCTCTGGATATGGGAAGTGCTCAGTACCTCTGGATATGGGAAGTGCTCAGTACCTCTGGATATGGGAAGTGCTCAGTACCTCTGGATATGGGAAGTGCTCAGTACCTCTGGATATGGGAAGTGCTCAGTACCTCTGGATATGGGAAGTGCTCAGTACCTCTGG